ATCGTTACTTTACGTTATTATCTACATCTCATTACCTAAATTGTATATATATATATATATAAAGATATAGCTGGTTCAAAGATAGCAGTATTCGTCTTATAATAAGACGAATAAGACGTAACAGTTTTTATATCATGGATAGGCCAATCGTGACGGTAGTACAAGGAAAATTACAAGGAATCTTTGAAGAAAATGTTCTTGGTTCTCATTATCTCTCTTTCAAAGGTATACCTTTTGCTGCTCCACCAGTGGGTGAATTAAGATTTAAGGTAATTTACTGTTATTAAATCTTTGATTTATCTTTATATGGTATTTCTGTTTAAAATATTTACTTTAAATTTTTATTAAAATAAAAAATATTAAAGATATTAAAAATATTTATTGTAACATATTTGCATATCAAGGATAATAAATTCTTAATTCTGATTATCTTAACTTGCGATTATTATAATGTAAAATATCATTTTACTTGATATTGGATTATATTTCACTGTTCAAAATCAGGATCCCGAACCCCCTGCTCCTTGGGAAGGTATTCGAGATGCTTCCAGAAATGCCGGTGATGTCTGTACACAATTGGAGCTTTTTGGAGCATTGTCATCTCAGACAGTTATTGGTAGCGAGGATTGTCTTTATCTTAATATTTATATACCATATAATATTTATCAAACAACAGGAAACTCAGTTATGGTTTGGATTCATGGTGGAGCCTATCTCGAGGGCAATGGCAATGATACTCACTATCGTCCTGACTACTTAATGGCGAAAGACATTATTCTAATTTCTGTAAATTACAGACTTGGTGCTCTTGGTAAGATTTGTGTTCCTAAAAAAACATGTCTCTTTGAGACATTTGAAGAGTTTTCTTATCACTATATTTGCAGAAGATATAGTACACATATCCTCTGATATGTACTCTAAATTTATCTTTCAAGGTTTCTTAAATCTTGATCACAAGGTAGCAAGTGGAAATCAAGGCTTGAAAGATCAAATTGCTGCTTTGAAATGGATCAAAGAAAATATTGAAGTTTTTGGTGGAGATCCAAACAACGTTACTGTTTTTGGAGCCAGTGCTGGTGGCTCTAGCACGCATTTTTTAATGTTATCGCCACTATCTAAAGGTATATAACATTTTTAATAAATAATAATGATAAAAAAAATAATTTGTTTAAAGATATTAATTATTATGTCTTTACTATATTTTTTCTTTTATACTGCTAGGTCTCTTTCAGAAAGCTATTCTTCAGAGCGGTATAAGCACATGTGATTGGGCGATAATAAATCATTCAGACACTAATGCTTTTAAACTTGCATCAATACTTGGTGTTGATTCTAAAGATCCTAAAAAAGTTATTGAATTTCTTCGAACAGTACCAGCTGCCAAAATTGTTGAAACGCAATACAGAGTTCTCACTCCAGAGGTGGAAATTATTTTTTATATATTTCTTCTTTATTTTATGCCCAACACTACACCGTAATACATTATGCAAAGATTTATGCATAACATTAATAAATGTTATGTATAATACTTGCTAATCATTCAAAAGATATGTTCCATACAGGAAGCACGTATTATTTTTATCCCATTTGGACCTACAATCGATGATAAAGCAGAAAGACCTGTTCTTCCATATCCTATTTCTCAATTACTTGACGATGATAATAATATACCAATCATGGTTGGTAATACATCTCACGAATATATCTTTTTTCTTAAAGGTATAACAAAATTAATAAATTTATAATTAAATATTATATATTATCTGCACATAGATTATATATATTAAAATACATCATTTTATAGGGTGTCTGATTCCTAATGATACACCATTTGCAAGTAGAGCGGGTCAAACTGAGTAGAAAAGTCTTCTATCATTTTGTAATTTTTGTAATTAGTAACGAATTATTAATTATTGAAGATCATGAATGAGCGCATATTCGCCCAACTCATCGACCAATGTAAGCGATAAAATGCAAACGTTCAAATTGCGTTCGCGGTAGGAGCGTGATGAAATATTTGAAAGTATGCACTATAAGCAGATATCTGTCATTCGTAGATTTTACGTTTAAATATCTCGCTCGTACTAATTGAGAATGCGTGTTGAACGATTGCACTTTACCACGTTGCATTTGCTGATGAGCCGAATGAATACGCGCTAATTCGATTTTTAATTTGACGATAATTAATAACTTGTTACTAATTGTGAAAATTGTAGAGGATTTTTTGCTCAGTTTCACTCGCTCTATATACACATAAGCAATGTATTGTTAAGAATCAGATATCTTATGTGTGTCTATATACATGATTTCTAATAGCGCGCGCGCGTGTGCCACACACACCCACACATACATCCACCCACCCCCTACCCACACACACACACACACACACACACACACACACACACACACACACACACACACACACAA